GCACCAGTTCGGAGCTGACCTTGATGGGCTCCTGGACTGGCTTCGCGACGCCTACCGCTTGGCGGTTGCCGGCGACTTCGGTCACGACGAGGCGTCCAGCCGCCGCCTGGCGCGCCAGCACCGCGCGCTCACCGGGGAGGTGGAGGCGCATCGCGGGTCCGTGGGCGGCCTGCGGCGCCAGCTGGCAACACTAGGGGGCGCCAGTGGCGTCGGATCTCTGGTGGTGGCGCTGCAGGTGCGCGTGGTGGAGGCCGAGCAGTTGTTCGCCGAGGTGACCGAAGTGGCCGCGCTGCGGCGCCAGTGGCTGCGCGATGCTCTCGCTGTCTACCGCATGTTCGGCGAGGTGCACGCCTGCGAGCTGTGGATCGGCGAGAAGGAGCAGTGGCTGCTCGCCATGCGCGTGCCCGATTCACTCGACGAAGTCGAGGTGGTGCAGCACCGGTGAGTGCGCGCTTTTGTGGGACCAGGAGAGGGACTCCCAGCTCCTCTTCCTCACGCACCCGGTCTCGCCTTCGTTAGTACAACAGTTCCCAAGTTCCTCACATCAGGGCTTCCAATTCCTGCTTCATCCTTAAGCAACTTTGTGACATTTCCCATGCAACTTCCCTAACCTTTCTGAACCTCAGTTTGCCATCTGTAAAATGGGGATGACACTAGTCCCTACTTCACAGACTTGTGGTGAACAGTAAATACATTAATAGGTGTAGAGCACTCAACACAATGCCTAGGGGTACAGGAGCATTCCATGAGCATTTACTATTATTGATGTTGTCAGGTGCCCTCAAGTCACTTCCAAATCATAGCGACTCTATGTACAGCAGAATGGTCCTGCATCATCCGCACAATCGTTGTATGCTTGAGCCCATTGTTGCAGCCACTGTGTCAATCCATCTCGTTGAGGGTCTTCCTCTCGCTGACCCTCTGCTTTATCTAGCATGATGTCCTTCTCCAGGGACTGGTCCCTCCTGATAACATGTCCAAAGTATGTGAGACAAAGTCTCACTATCCTTGCTTGCAAGGAGCATTCTAGCTGTACTTCTTCCAAGACAAATTTGTTCATTCTTCTGGCAGTCCATGGTATATTCACTATTCTTTGCCAACACCACAATTCAAACGTATCAATTCTTCGTCGGTCTTCCTTATTCATTGTCCAGCTTTTACATGCATATGAGGCGATTGAAAACACCGTGGCTTGCTATTATTTTTACCTCCAGACTTATATTCACCTGGCACGAAATTAGTGACCTGAGCTCCTTCATGGGAATCCCCCCCTCACCCCTCCCATGGGACTCCCAATGCCCCTGCGCAAATTTGATCTAATAGTAAATGTTCGTTGAATGAATCAGTGGCTCTCATGAATCACACCTCCCTAGCTAATATCTCCAACCCCTGTCACGTTTCTCCTTACCCTTCTTTACACCCCATGATGTGTTATATACTCAACTGCCTGTTGGCCCACTTAGTCATGAGTCATTCAGTGAGTCCATGGACAATGTCTTTGTCCCACTGCACCTTTCTCTCTGAGTGTCTTGTCCCTCATCCATTCATTCAGCAGCTGTTTGCTGAGTGCCTGCCCGGTTCTAGGTCTTCTGCTAGGCATTTCTGGAAACACAGGCCTCGTTCCTGCCCTTACTATACTCACGGTTATCCAAGCCCCAGTCTTGGGCATTGCTGGAAACCAGGGAGGATCATAGTCAGATTAAAAATGACCTCCCTGTGTGGACTGGAGGGGTGAGAATGGTGGCTGGGAGCCCAGAGAGGCAGCTGGGAGGGGGCCCAGGTGGGAGAGACGGCTGGACCAGGGCAGGGCTGTGGGCAGATGGGAGAGATACTCAGAAGACCAAGTGGACAGGCCATGGGGGCTGCCAGGCTGAGGCTGGAGTGTCCAGGATAAGGCCCAGGGTTCTGGCCTGAGGGGTGGTAGGGCTGTCCCTGAGATGGGGACCCAGAGGAAGAACAAACTTGATGGGAGATGCTGAGTCCTATTTTGAGTCACAGTGGGTGCAAAGGGCCTGGAGGAGGTGCACGGCTGGTTCAAGAGAGAGGTTGGGGCTGGAGACTGACATGTGGGGGCCATGGGTGCAGGGGTGAGGATCGAGGCTGCGGGGATGAGTGAGACAGCCCAGGGAGGGGGTGAGGGACAGCTCGGAGGGCCCAGGAAAGAGCCCTGAGGGTACGAGCATTTAGGAGGCAGGTAGGAGAGGAGGAGCCAGCAAAGGAACCTGAGAAGGGGAGGCTATAAAATCAGGAGGGACAGAAGGCAATTTCACAGAAGCCAAGTCGTGGGCAGGTCCTGAGCATCCAGGCCTCTGAGCATGTCCATCCTCTTCCCGCAGATTCGAGAGCCTGGAGCAGGAGATGAACAGCCTGATGGGCCGTGTCCTGGACGTGAACCACACAGTCCAGAAGCTGGTGGAAGGAGGCCACCCCAGCTCAGAAGAGGTGCGCTCCTGCCAGGACCACCTCAACAGCAGGTCGGTGGGGCCTGGGGCTGGAAGTCCTTCCTGGTTTCTGACATCAGCTCTTGCCATCATTGCCTTCCTCATTCACTCAGCTGTGGAAATCGAAGATGTGCCATCTCAAACCCCCGAGATGATAACAGCCATCTGTTAAGTCAGCAAAGTCTTGAAAAAATGGTAATACCAGTGCTAGCGATGATGTGGTAAAGTGAGATACAAGACTTTTCAGTTGGCTGTTCATTGATTTGCAGCCTTGGTGGCACAGTGGTTAAGAGCTCAGGTGCTAACCAAAAGGTCGGCAGTTCGAATCCACCAGCCCCTCCTTGGAAACCCTATGGGGCAGTTCTACTCTGTCCTATAGGGTCGCTGTGCATCGGAATCGACTTGACGGCAACGAGTTATTCATTTATTTGTTCAGAAACTATTGAGTATCTACCATCTGCCAGGAATTTTTCCAAGTACTTTGCACACTTGTTTTATCTCCCAGGATCCCAGGTTCCATAGTACAGCCTCCAGAATTCAAAACTCACTAACAATAGTAACAGATTAATATCCCCGCTCCCCTGGAACACTACCAGCTCATAGCAACCGTATAGGACAGAGTAGAACTGCCCCACAGGGTTTCCAAGGAGTGGCTGGTGGATTCAAACTGCTGACCTTTTGGTGAGCAGCTGAGCTCTTAACGGCTGCGCCACCAGGGCTCCAATGTGGTTATAGCCATCAATATTTATCAGAAATAAAATGGAAATTTGTAAAATATTTATTAAATCGTTCACAAATAACACCCATAAACCTATTGCAACGCAACTAACATTCTTAATGAAAAATAATGTTTTTCAAAACAAAAACTAGTAGCGAGTGGCGTTGCGTTGCGTTTTTTTGCAAATCTCTTTAACATCTGGCTCCAGAGAAGGCGGCTGGATTCCTGCCTCTGTTTCCGTGTCAGTCTCTTGTGATACTCTGGAAAACTCCACCGTCCACTTGGGAGAGAATGAGTGGAAAGGCAAAGAAAGCTTCAGTATTGCGAGAGTGCCCTGGTGGTGCATTGGTTAAGAGCTCGGCCTCTAACCACAGGGCTCGGTAGTTTGAATCCACCAGCTGCTCCTTGGAAACCTTATGGGACAGTTCTGCCCTGTCATCTAGGGTCACTCTGAGTTGCAACTGACCCGACGGCAACGGGTTTGGTGTTTTGGGTTATTGTTGTGAAAATAGCTTGGGCTTCGCTGGGATTACACTTTGAGAACCGCTGCTCTGAGCAAATGGGCCGGGTGGATTCCATTTTAAAGAGGCAGAAACTGGGGCTCAGTGAGATAGTGACTTTCCGAGGTCACACAGTGCCTAGGTGGCCAGGGCTTGCATTGGAACCTAGGTCTCCCTGTCATTCACGCCCAAGAAACACCCCTACCCTCCTCTTCAAGTCTCCATCCTTCCCTTGGGTAGGTGGAACCGCATCGTGGAACTGGTGGAACAGCGCAAAGAGGAGGTGAGCGCGGTGCTGCTGGTGGAGAACCATGTGCTGGAGGTGGCAGAGGTCCGCGCCCAGGTGCGCGAGAAGCGACGAGCAGTAGAGAGCGCGCCCCGCGCTGGCGGCGCCCTACAGTGGCGCCTTAGCGGCCTGGAGGCGGCTCTGCAAGCGCTGGAGCCAAGACAGGCGGCTCTCCTGGAGGAGGCGGCCCTACTGGCCGCGCGCTTTCCCGCGCAGGAGGCGCGGCTCAGCCAGGGCGCAGAAGAGCTGGGCGCCGAGTGGGGCGCGCTGGCAGGCGCGGCTCAGGCCTGCGGCGAGGCGGTGGCGGCGGCCGGGCGCCTGCAGCGTTTCCTGCACGACTTGGACGCTTTCCTGGACTGGCTGGTGCGCGCCCAGGAGGCAGCGGGAGGCGGCGAGGGGCCCCTGCCCGGCAGCCTGGAAGAGGCGGATGCGCTGTTGGCGCGCCACGCCGCTCTCAAGGAGGAGATGGACCAGCGCGAGGAGGACTATGCGCGCATCGTGGCGGCCAGCGAGGCGCTGCTCGCGGGGGACGGCGCTGAGCTGGGCCCGGGCCTGGCGCTCGACGAGTGGCTGCCGCACCTCGAGCTCGGCTGGCACAAGCTGCTGGGCCTGTGGGAGGCGCGCAGGGAGGCGCTGGTGCAGGCGCACGTCTACCAGCTCTTCCTGCGCGATCTGCGCCAGGCGCTCGCTGTGCTTCGCAACCAGGTGCCTGCTCCGGGTTCCTTGGGAGGTTGGAGGTGCAGGAAGTGGGGGTGGGGAATTGTTGGGACAGAGGAGTGCTTCGGTGGGGGAGGGGAGAGTTGGTGGTGGTGTTTGCAGGACCACTGAGTTTGTGGCTTATCTGAGGTGGGTGGGAGTTGAGAAGTGATCTGTTATGGGTAACTGGGTTTGAGGATCATCCAGAGTGAGCGTGTGTGAGCGTGTGTAACAAAGTTTGAGGGTTATGATGGGTGGGCTGGTGTCTTATCTGGAGTGACTAATGGTTTGTGGACTATTCCGAGTGCGTAATGCAGTTAAGTATTTATTATGAGGGGCTTACTGGATTTGTGGATTGTCCGGAAAGAAATGAGTATGAGGTTAATTCATGAGGGTTAATAGGATTTAAAGAAGCTCTTGGGGTGGATAACAGAGGCTGTGATGAAGTGGGTGACCCAGGGGGAGAGATTTAGGGTCGGTGAGTGAGTGTGGACTCGGTGGTTGTGGGAGGCTAAATTTGCAAATTATCTTCATTATTGGGGTTGACAATTTGGTGGTTATCTGGGGACTAGCGATCCAGTTTGGAGATCATTTGGGATTGGGATTCAAGTCTGAGGATTTGGGCAAGTTAGAGCACCCAGTTTTCGGATTGTCCAAGAGCAGGTACCAATGTTTGGGGATCATCTTGGGAAGGGTTATCTAAGGGGAGCTGACCCAGTTGGAGAATTATCGGGGTGGGGGGAGATGGGGAGCATCTAGGATCCTGAGGTTCCTGGATATCAGAGCTGAGGTGGCCTTGAGAGACCGTGACTCACCCATTTTACCAGTTAGAAAACCAAGCCCAGAGAGGGAAAGGACTTCCCTAGGGTCACACAGCACCTAGTTAAGTCTTTCATCAAGTAAGCACCTATTTACTGAGTGCTTCCTCTCTGTACCAGCCACTGTTCTGGGGCTGGGCACACATCAGGACACCAAACAAAAGCCCACCCTCGTGTGGCTGACTTTCTGATGTCTGTGTATGTGGGGGAGGGGAAAGAGACAGGAAACTAAATGTATATATAATATTATGTCAGAAATATGCTGTCACTTCATTAAGCAGAGTGAAGGGATATGGCAGGGGTGGGGGTTGCTATTTTTGGCAGATGGTCAGAAAACGCCTCTCTGAGGAGGTGACATTTGGGCAGAGACCTGAAGGAAGTGAAGGAGCTAGCCACGGGGACAGACTGCCAGGCCGAGGGACCAGCATGGGCAAAGGTCCTGAGGTGGGATGGTGCCTGCGTGTTCACGCTTGAGCACAGTGGGCGGAGAGTGGTGGCAAGCCAGGCGGGCAGCCTCTCCCAGGCTCCCGGAATGGAGAGGGACTGAACTGTGCACCACCACCCCCTTCCAGGAGATGGCGCTGTCGGGTCCCGAGCTCCCGAGCACCTTGGAGTCGGTGGAGGAGGCGTTGAAAAGGCACCGGGATTTTCTCACCACGATGGAGCTGAACCAGCAGAAGATGCAGGTGGCCGTGCAGGCTGCGGAGGGCCTGCTGAGACAGGGCAACGCCTACGGCGAGCAGGCCCAGGAGGCCGTGGTGCGGCTGCTGGAGAAGTAGGCCCCCCCCACACCCCCGGGCCTAGGTGTGGGGGGTCTCGGCACAGAGGAGGGGCGAGAAAGGCGCTGTGCGGCTCGGTGCCCCCACCGTGTCCGCTTCTCTGCCGCTCTCTGATTTCTACCCAATTCCATAACGTTTTAGATTCAATTTATTTTTTGTGAAGGGTAACACAGTTGTAAATTCAAAAGGTACAGAGGAATATTCAATGAAAAGTTTCTCTCCCACGCCGGCCCTCAGCGCGGAATAGCTGGACCGGTTGTTACAAAGTTAAAATATGTCCTTAAACCAAAAACCAAACCCATTACCGTCGAGTCCATTCCGACTCATAGTGACCCTATAGGACAGAGGAGAGCTGCCCCATAGGGTTTCCAAGGAGCGCCTGGTGGATTCAAACTGCTGACCTTTTGGTTAGCAGTCGTAGCTTAACCGCTGCGCCACCAGGACTCCAAAAACTATGTCCTTACGTGGGAATAAAGAACTGTCCCTGGATGTCCAGCATCAGTCCTGCGGCTCTGGCCCCTCCGCTCGACCCCGCCCCTAAAGGCTAGGCGCATGTTCTGCTCCAGCCCCCCAGTTCCCCTGCAGACAGCATAAGTACCCAGAATGCGTGGCGTGGTGTGTGTCTCTGTGTCTTTCATGCTCCCTCGCTGGGCTCGCTTCTGTCACCATCTGTCTCTCCACTGCCCTGTGTCTTGTCTGTGCGTGCAGGAATCAAGCACAGACATTGACTGAGCGTCGCCTTGTGCCAGGCACTATTCCAGGCCCTGAACAAACCAGATTCCTCCCTCCAAGAATCCCAGCCCTCACGGAGAGTTTCGCTAGGATCTCTTCCAGTCTCTCTGTCACTATCGGTGTTTCTGCCTCTCCCTCCTCTCTGGCTCTTTCTGGAATGATGCAGGCTGGAAGAAGGCCCCACAGCCTCCTTCTGTCTTCCAGTCTCCTGATGGAGAGCAGACCTGGTCACTCCACCCCCACCTCCACCCCAAGACCCTGGCCCCCCTCCAGGCTGGGGCTGACGTGCCATTTTCTCCTAAATTCATCTGAGTTGAGGCTGGAGGTTTCTAAAGAAAGCTTTTATGGGGATCCTGGGCCAGAGCATGCAAACTGATCGCCTGGTGCTTCCAGCTCCAGCCTGGCCCCTTCTTTCCTTTCTCCCCCGTTTCTTGAGCACCTGCTATATGCCAGAAGAGCAAGAATGAGGGGCCTCAAGGACTGTTCGTTCTGTGATCCACTTTATTCCTTTTCACAGTCATTAGTTAAGCGCTCCCTGTATTCTGTTTATCATTTATTCTTCAGTCAGTTTAGCTGGTACGGAGCCTGTGTGGTGGCCAGGACAGAATACAATGGCTGCCGTCAGAGAACTCACACTGTCTGACGAGGCTGGCCCAGACAGTCGAGGCTGGGACGGGGGAGGTGCAGTCACAGGGGTCAGGGCTGGGATGAGGGAACTCAGGAGGCTGTGGGAGCCCAGACCTCTGCTGGGGGAGGTGGGGACACATCAGGCATTGGGACAGACCTGATCCCTGTTCCCCACCCAGGTCCTTGTTATTTACTTGTCTGTCGTTGTTAATTGCTGCCACGGTAACCCCACATGTGCAGAATAGAACTGCTCCATAGGGTATTCAAGGCTGTGACTTTTTGGAAGCAGATCGTCAGGCCGGTCTTCCAAGATGCCTCTGGGTGGGTTGGAACCACCAACCTTCGGGATAGCAGTCGAGCGCTTAACCTTTTGCTCCACCAGGGACTCCATTTACTTGTCCAGGGTCATGTTTTTCACCCTATGGGAGTGATAACAACATCCATCACTGGGGGGAGGGCTTTCCACACCCAGACCAAAAAACCCACTGCTGTCGAGTCGAATTCCGACTCATAGTGAACCTATGGGGCAGGGTAGAACTGCCTCATAGGGTTTCCAAGGCTGTAAATCTTTACAGAAGCAGACTGACACATCTTTCTCCCTCGGAGCGGCTGGTGGATTCGAAACACAGACCTTTCGGTTAGCAGCTAAGTGTTTAATCGCTGCACCACCAGGGCTCCCATTCCACACCCAGTTAGGGGTCAGGCAGACCCAGGTCCTAATCCCAGCTCCACCCCTCCACCTGCAAGATGTAGGGCCAGTCACTTAGGCTCTCTGTGCCTCGCCTGGCCTGGAACCTGACCCAGCTCTGTGTGCTAGGTGTCGGTCTTACCTGCATTTTGCATGGAGGCTCAGAGAGGGAACTGACTTGCAGGTCATGGCAAGCAAGTGGCTGTGCCATGATTTGAACCCTGTTGTGTTTTCTCACCCTGGTGGAGACAGAAGGGATTCTCCTCATCCTTAGGACTGATGCTTGACAATTTGGCTGGTCAGGGCCTCAAGGGACTGATATCGATTTCAGAAGCATTTCCTGGCTCCAGGGCTGCAGCTGCGGTGGAGCTGGCGGGAGTCAGTACTTCGCCTGCTTGTCTCTGGCTCTGCCTGTTCCTCCTCTCCAGCTCTGCCTCTGTAACTTTCTCTCCCACCGTCTCTGTCTCCATCTCTCTCTCTCTGTATATTTTTGTCTCCCTCCGTCTGCGTCTTTCTACCCTGCCTCTTCCTCAACTATTTCTGCCTTTTTTTCTGCCTCTTTCTCTTCTGCAGACACTTTTGTTTCTTTCATTTCTCTTGGCCTATCTGTCTCTCTTGTATTCATTGACTCACTCATTCATTCATGTAACAAATATGTATTTACTATGCATTTCCTATGGGCCAGGCCCTTTTGCTAGGCATTGAGGATACAGGTGTGAACAAAACAAAAATTCCTACCTTCATGGAATGACAAGATAAATAAGTCAAATATATACTGTGTTAGGTAGTGACGGGAGCCCTGGTGGTGCAGTGGTTAAAAGCTTGGCTGCTAACCTAAAGGTCGGCAGTTCGAATCCACCAGCTGCTCCCTGGAAACCCTAGGGGGCAGTTCTGCTCTGTCCCATAGGGTTGCTATGAGTCGGAATCCACTCAACGGCAACCGGATTTTTAGATAGTGGTAAGTCCTAAGGAGGAAATTAAGGAAGCAAAGCCTGCCAGGAAGTTCTGGGGAGGGGCCTCGCTGAGAAGGTAACATGTAAATAAAGATCTGAAGGTTAGAGGAGGTGGTCTGTGAATAGCTCTCCAGGGGGAAGAGCATTTGAGGCAGAAGGAACAGCAGGTGCCAAGGCCCTGAGGTGGGAGTGGTGAGTTCAAGAACATCGAGAAGGCCAGTGTGGCAGTCAGAGTGACAGAGGGGAAGAGTAGGGGGAGGGGAAGAGTCGGGAAAGGTAGGGGCAGGAGGATGCTGGGCCTGGACGGTCTGAGAAGGACTCTTAGGGAGCTGGGGGCCTTGGAAGGATAGTCTCTTTATCTCTTCTCTGTCTCCCTGGGGGAGGGACTACACAGGCACACATGTGGGCTGAAGTCAGAGGCCCCCAGGCCCCTCCGCTAGGCCTCTTGGGAACTTTGCCTACACTGTGGGCAGGATGCCTGGGGCTTTGATCCCAGCTGGCTGTGGGGGTAGGGCCTAGGTCCAGCCTGACCACTTCACTCTGGCCAAGGGCCTGACTCCTGCCTGCATGCCCAAGCACCCACCCCACCCTTGCTGAGGCTCCAGTCCCATCTCTCCCCACACCCTGGTCTCTTCTCTCCTGTGGCACCCCCCCTACACCGCATCTGTCTGTCAGGCCATGTCTTGCCCACTTCTCTGCCTGCCCCCCGCCCCCCGCTGTCCCTGCATTTTTCCCTTCCTCTGCTTCCCCCCTTTCTCTCCTTTGCTGCTCTCTGTCTCTCTGTTGGCCTCTCTCTGTTGCTACCCCTGCTCCATTTCTCTCCCTCTCTCCCTGAGTCTCTGCCTGTTTGTCTCTCTCTCTCTAGGCCACTGTCGCTTTATCGCTCTTTGGGTCTCTGTCATTCACTCCCTCTTGATGTTTCTGTTTCCCGCCTTATCTCTGGACCTGTGTTGGTCCGCCTGTATGTGTCTCTCTGTCTCTAGGTCTGTTTATCTCTCTCTAGGCATGTGTCTCTCTTTGTATCTCTCTCTCTGAGTCTGTTTCCCTCTTGATTTCTCTTTCTCTCTGGGCCTGTGTCTAACTCTCTGTATCTCTTTCTCTCCAGATGCGCGTTTCTCTCTCTAGGTCTCTCTCTGACCTACGCCTCTGTCTCTGGTTCTCCATCCCTCTCCAGCTCTATCCCTGCCTCTGCGCCTTCCGGACTGCCTCTCCCCCACCCCCACCTTGATCCCTACCCCTTCTCTCTTATGTATGTCCCAGGCTCCACTACCCCTGCCCAGCCCGATGCCCTCACTGTGCTACAGCCAGTGCCCCTTTCCCCAGCCTCCGCCCAGCCCCTCTTTCCCCACCCCCAGGAGCCAAGAAAACCAACTACAGGCTCAGCAATGGATGCAGAAGCTACACGACCAACTTGAGCTGCAGCACTTCCTCCGAGACTGCCACGAGGTAGGACTTCAGCTGTGCTGGGGCAGTGACGCCCCCTTTTCTAGGGAGGGAAGAACTCCGGGTCAGATGCGCAATAGGGGCGGGGACGCGCCGTCTAAGTGGGTCGTAGAGCGATGTTTACTGTGGACCGCCAGGGGGCGCGCGAAGGCCTGTCTCAGTGCGCATGTTCCGCAATTCCCTCCCCGCCCACGCGAGCGCCGGGGCAGAGGGGCGGGGCCTTTGGCGCCCCTGGCAACGGCGCGCGTCCGCGCCTACTGGTCCCGTGGGGACGCGCGCTGATCTCACCTTTCTCTGTGGGTATTTGTGAGATGATCCCTGCCTGGGGAGCGAGAACAGGGCAAGGCGGGTATGGACCAGCTGCCCAGAGCGCTCCTTCTGTCAGAGATGGTCCTGACCGAGCCCTTACCCCTTTAAAGATATCTAGGAATCAGGATGGTCATTCAAATCAGAGATGGTTCAGGCCCCCTTCCCCATTAGTGACGGCTCAGGAGACAGGCTGCTTCCCCCTCCTTCCTCTGCATTCCATCAGAAGCTGTTTTGGACTCCGCGCACATAAGAGAGAGCCCTATTAGACATATCCAGTAAACATTTTTCTAACCCCCAGAGTTGGTGCCGCCCTCAGGCTCCTCCATCTGTATGACACAGAATCACCCCCTCCTCTCTCCCGTGATGATCTAGTACCTGTCTCCCCCAACGAAAGATGGTTCAGGAACCGGGCCCTGTCCCCCCTCCCCCCAATTAAAGATGGTTTGGCCCTCCCCATGGTGAACTCCCACGGGAGATCATTTTCCTCATATGTGAAATGGACAAGGGCTCCCCCATGTCCCCATTCCTACATAAATGAGGTGGACCATGGGAGATTGTTCTGGACTGAGGTCTTAGATGATCTAGGGCCCCCCTCCCATATACTTCATCATCTACATAGCTGAGGTGGCCAGGGATCCAAGCCATTGGAGATGGACTGGAGCCCCCCCCCCCACACACACACCTCATCTTCACATAGCTGAGGTAGCCTGGAACCCAGCCCACCCCACCGCCATTAGAGATTGTCCAGGAGCCCCCTCCCCCGTGAGATTGTTCTGGAGTTCTGAACCAAGGGACAATTCATCTGAGATGGCGTAGAAGCGCCCCCCTCCCCACTCCATGCTTCAGGGAGGGTGGTGATTCCTCCCCCACCTCCAACTGGGGCCCCGCAAAGAGGCGGGCATGGAGGCAGGCAGGGGGCGCGCGCGGGCGGGCGCGCTGCCGCGGC